CTGGCAATGTTTAACCTTTGTGACCTAAAAAAACTTTGTGTGAAAAGGACAGTTATTCTCTTGACATGGCAATTACTGTATCTTTTCTTTTTATGTGTCTTAGCCATTCAGGACATAGGCGATCATGACTCGATTTCCCACTGTCCCTTGTAGAACTCAATAAGTTTCATCCTTTTGCCACCTCCCCCAGACCACATTCTGCTATCCACTTGTTTAAGCTTGCCATGTATGTCATGCATTGCTTTCCTTTGTCTCTCTTTCCCTCTACTTGACCTGTGAGTATCGTATTCTCCAGGCCCTCCTTCATGTGTCCCAGAAATTTCAGCTGCCTCTTCCTGATGTTAAGTATAAGTTTCTTCCTTGTTTGCATCCTCTCCAAAACCTCATTGTTGCTCGCATGCTTGATCCATGATATATTCTGTAGAACTGTACCTAAACCAGGAAAAAGAAGAAAAAAATGTTTTTTTTGTTCTTTTTTTCTTTTTACTTTTGTCTTATTTGAAATGCAAAGTTGCCATTCCCATGGGTTGGGGAAGGGTTGGTCACTATAGCATCTCAGAACCCCCCCACTTTGCTTGTTTGCCCCCACACACCCACCCAACCAACCACAGTACATTTGCTTCCAAAAATGGAGATGTATTGTTGAAGTCAGCCACACTCTTTTCACTAAAAAACCATTGGTTTGAGGTAAGCAAGATTAACATGAAATTCCAATTGTAAGTACTAAGAAGCACTTTTCCATGCTATTTTCAATCTCACAGCAAAATTTATTTTACAACATTATGAAAATATATGGACCAAGTGCATTGCAATATTTATAATTTAATTTTTATAAAGATTTAATATCTACTTTTTTATCATTAAATAAATTTTAAAAGTTTATAAAAAATTACAAAATTATCAAAATATAAACTAACTACTTTACCATTCTATAAATATTAACTATTTACATTTCTATAAATATCTAAGATTTACCATTCTATAGATGTTTACCATTTATCATTCTATAAATATTTAACATTTACCATTCTATAAATATTTAACATTTACCATTCTATAAATATTGACCATTTATCATTCTATAAATATTTAAAACTTACGATTCTATAAATGTTTAGAATTTATCATTCTATAAATATTTAACATTTACCATTCTGTAAATATTTACGATTTACCATTCTATAAATATTTACCATTTATCATTCTATAAATATTTAACATTTACCATTCTATAAATATTTAACATTTACCATTCTATAAATATTTACCATTTACCATTCTATAAATATTTAACATTTACCATTCTGTAAATATTTACCATTTACCATTCTATAAATATTTAACATTTACCATTTTATAAATATTTACCATTTATCATTCTATAAATATTTACCATTTTTCATTCTATAAATATTTAGCATTTACCATTCTATAAATGTTTAGAATTTTTCATTCTATAAATATTTAACACTTACCATTCTGTAAATGTTTAGAATTTATCATTCCATAAATATTTAACATTTATCATTCTATAAATATTTATGATTTACCATTCTATAAATATTTAACATTTATCATTCTATAATATGTACCATTTACCATTCTATAAATATTTAACATTTACCATTCTGTAAATATTTAACATTGTTCATAATTTTCATCAGTGCATTTCCTGATGTCATCAGTTCTCAACTCAGTATCTATGCATGACATAATTATTTGTTACTATCTTAATGGTAAATTTGATCAGTTTGAGAAGGTTAAATTGGCCACTGAATTTAAAAATAACCCACAATCTGTTGTTAACTGGAGCAAGAAATAGATTATTAATTTTAATGCCTCTAAAAGAAAACTGTTCTCTTTTAATCATCTGAGAGAACATATTTAGCTTTCCATCAGCATGGCTGATGCTAACCTTCAGGAGAGAGACTCCTTGTAACTTCTCAGGCTAATATTTTTTGCTAACATGAAGTGGAAACATTATATTGAATCAATTGCTAGATCTGCTGCTTGGAAAGTTGGTTCACTGTGCTAGACAGTTGTTCTTACCTGAATCTATCTTACATATTTATAAGTCTCTCATTCATCCATACATTGAATATTGCTGCCACATATAGTATGGTGCTTCTGCTATGTATTTAGAGATTCTTGACCTGGCATCTCAACTTCAGTCACTTTCCCACTGCCATAATGTAGCTTACCTATGGTACCTAGACTTTATAAATTTAAGCATACTACTAGATTGGTGGCAACGTTTCCTCATCTTACAATTGAAATGTCAAGATGCAATGAGGAGTTCTATGCTAACAGTTCTTTCTCTTGTATTCATGCTCTTCTGTTTTTGTGCATTCCCAGAAGAATGGAATAAACGTCAACTGCAAGAATCATAGTTGTTTGCCAAAGGAACAGCCTAACATGTAAATTATAAATTGGAGATACAAAGATCAAACAAATACAACAATTTAAAAATCTGGGAAGTGTTATTACAGAGGATAAAAAGTGTGACATTGAAATTCAAAGGTGCATTGGGATAGGGAAAGATGCCTTTCAAAAGCTAAGCAAATTATTAAAAAACAAAAAAATTCTATTAGAGACAAAGAAAAAAGCACTGAACTGTTATGTAACATCAATCTTACTATATGGCAATGAATGCTAGACCATCTCATCATAGTTGAAGAAGAGACTTGAAGAAATCAAAATATGGTTCTACAGAAGGATGCTGAGAATACCATGGACTGAACACAATAACAATGACAAAATTTTAGAGTAAATGGAAACAAAAAGGATACTTATACATCAGGAAGAGCTGAAAACTCTAGATCACATAATGAGGAAAGAGGGATTGGAAAATTTGATACACACAGAACAGATTGAAGTCAAGAGGGTCAGAGGAAAACAATGCCTGAGTAAATTGATGGCAGAACAAGATTTAGGAGGAATAAAAAAAAAAGACAAAATTTATTAAGAGCTACAGAGTACAAGAAATTATGAAGAGCCATGATCACTCTTGTCCTGAAGGGATGTGGCACATAGAAGAAGAAGAAGAAGAAGAAGAAAAGAAGAAAAAGAAGTAGAAAAAGAAGATGACTCCACCTTCTTTCTTACTGACTACTGTTTTCACCCTTAACTGCTTTTTATCATTTTTTTAGTGTTTATCTTGCACTCTTTTTCTTACTCTATTTTTCTTTTCCTTTTTTCTTTTTCATATTCTCCATCTTTACCAGTTCAGTCACTCTTTCATTTACCATCAAATTTTTTTCTTCATCTCCTTATCTTTCCTTCTGTTGTTCTTTCATTATGTTAAAAAACAATTTTTTCTTTTTTACTTTTAATTTTTGTTCAAATCTTTTTACCTTTTCTCCTGTTAGCTTCTTTTCCCCTTGATTTTCTTCTCCTTGGTTTCTCTTTTTCCTTTTTACATTTTCTCCTATGTTTCTTTTTTTCTTCTCCTAAGTTTCTGTTTTTTTCTTAATTTTTCTCCTGTTTCTTTTTTCTTTTTCTTTTTCTTTTCCCCCTATGTTTCTTGCTTCTTTTTCTCCAATGTTTCTGTTTCTTCTTTTACTCCTATGACTCTTTGTTTCTTTTTCTTTTTTCTTGTACGTTTCTATTTTTTCTTTTTAATTTTTCTCCTATATTTCTTTTTTTCACTTTTTCCTGTGTGTCTGATTTTCTTTTTACTTTTTCTTCTATGTTTCTTTTTCTTTTCTCTTATCTTTCTTTTCTGTCTTTTTTCTTTTTCTCCTATGTTTCTTTTTTTTTTTTACTTTTTCCTATGTTTCTTTTTTCTCTTATATTTTTTTTACTTTTCTTTATATTTTTTTTTTTTTTTTTTCTTTTCTTTTCTTCTTTTTCTTTTTCTTATTGTTTTTTACTAATTTTACATTTTTCCTATATAAATTTTTTTTGGTACCGGATTTTTTTTAGATTTTTCTTCTATGTTTCTTTTGAATCCAGAGACTCTGCCTTTCTTTTTTAGTCTTTTTTTGCAGGAACAGTCTTCCCAAGAATTTTTTTCTTTTAAATATTTTTCCTATTCTTTGTTTTCTTACATTTTTTTTTAACGTTTTCTTTGTATGTTTTCTTTTATTCCATCATTATTTCTTACTCATGTTATTTTTCTTTTTCTTCTATGGTTCTGCTTTTTCTTTTTTACGTTTTCTCTTATGCCTTTTTCCTATGTTTCTTTTTCTTTTTTCTTTTTACTTTTTCAAAGATATTTTTTATTCTTTTTACTTTCATCCTATGTTTATCATTTCTTATTCTCCTATGTTTCTCTTCTTTTTCTTTTTCCTTTTTCTCTTATATTTCTTTTTTCTTTTTCTTTTTCCTATATTTCTTATTTCTTTTTGTCTTATGTTATTCTTTTTCTCTTTTGTTTATTATTTTAACTTTTCTCCTATTTTTCTTTTTTCTCTTTTTAATTTTTCTATTTTCTTTTTGTTCTTTTTACTTATTCTCCTCCTTTTTTCTGTTTTCATTTTCTCCTAAGATTCTTTTTTCTTTTTCTGCTATGTTTCTTTTATTCTCTTTAGTTTTCTCTTATGTTCCTATGTTTCTTTTTCATTTATTCCTATGTTTCTTTTTCCATTTTAATATTTTCCCATTTTCTTCTTTTTTTTTGTATATTATTTTTTTCTATTTATCCTAAGTTTCTGTTTTTTCTTTTTCTTCCATGTTTCTTTTTTTCGTTTTCTCCTATGTTTCTATTATTTGATTTCCTTTTTTCTTTGTTCCTTTTTTTCTTTTCTCTCCTGTTTCTTTTTTCTTTTTACTTTTCCTCCTATGTGTCTGTTTTTGTTTTTCTCCTGTGTTTCTTTTTATTTTTTATTTTTTCTCTTAATTTTTCTTCTATGTTTCTTTTTGTCTCTTTTTTATTTTTCATCTGTTTCTTTTTTCCTTTTTCCTTTTTCTCCTATGTGTCGTTTTCTTTTTACTTTTTCTCCTATTTTTCTTTTTAATTTTCTCATATGTTTCTTTTTTCTCTTTTTAATTTTTCTCCTATGTTTCTTTTTCTCCATTTTTCTTTTACTCTGATGTTTCTTTTTTCCTTTTCTTTTTCTTCTGTTTCCTTTTTTCTTTTTATTTGTTCCTATGTTTCTTACTTTATTCTCTTATGTCATTTTTTCTTTTTCTCCTATGTTCCTGTCTTTTCATTTTATTTTTTCTACTAGGATTTTTTCTTTTTCCCATATGCTTCTTTTTCTTTTTTCTTTTTTTTTTTTAACTTTTTCTCACATATTTTTTTTATTCTTTTTATTTTCACCTTTTCTCTTTTTCCTTTTAACCTGTTTCCCTTTTCTCCTATGTTTCTGTTTTTACTTTTTCTCCTGTGTTCATTGTGTTTTTTCTCCTGTTACTTTTTTACATTTTTCTCATGTTTCATTTTTTCTTATTTTCGTTTTTCATACTATTTTTCATTTTCTTTTCTCCTATGTTTCTTTCATGCCCATGTTTCTATTGTAACTCTCTTTATTTTTCAGCACCTTTTCTTCTCTATGTCACCCTTTCACACAGTCTAATTGTCTCTTAATTGCTTTAGATCTTTTCTTACACCCATCCTTTTCTATTTACCCTATTTTATCTCTTTTTTTCCATCTCCTTTTTACTCTTGATTTTTTCCTTTGCTGCTTCATTCTTCACTTTCTTTACTCTCTTTTGTTCACTTGCTTCTTTTTTTCTTTTTCATTATTTTTCTTCATTTTTGTTGTCTTAATCTTTAAATTTGATCTTTTCTCCACCACTTTCTTTTTCCTTTCTTTCAATTTTTTCTTTCTTTCAATTTTTTCGTTCTTTCAATTTTTTCTTTTTGCTTTTACTTTTTCTCTATACATATTCTTTCTTTCTTTTTTCCTTCATTTAATTTGCTTTCATTTTTCTTTCTCTAATGTTGCTTTCCAATTTATTTATTTATTTAACTTTTTTCTTTCCACTTTTTATTTTCCTTACTTTAATTTGCTTTCCTTTTTCTTTGCCTTCCAATTCCTTCCTTCCTTTCTTTTTTTCATACAGTTTCCCAATTCCATTTTCTTTCCTTTACTTTCTTTTCATTTAGTTTCTTTCTTCTTTGCTGTCTCATTTCTTTCTTTCTTCATTCTTTTTTCTTTCTTTCTTTCGAATACTATCTCTTTCTTTCTTTCCCTTACTTATCTCTTTCATTCCAGCACCTATCTCTTTCTTTTTCTTTCTTTATTTATGTATTTCTTTAATTCCCGTATTTATCTCTTTCTTTCTTTTTTTCTTTCTTTCTTTCTTTCTTTCTTTCTTTCCTTACATTTTTATATTCTCTCTTTTTCTCCCTCTCTTGTTGCTGAACAATTCTTTTCTTGCTGTTTCGTTTGTCTGCTCTTTCACTCATTTCATTTCTTCAATCTTCACACCTCCTGTCCTCATCTCTTGTTGCAATTCTTGGTTATCTCCCTTTAAACTTTACTTCTCTCTCTCTTAACCTTCTAGTTGTTCTCACTCTCTCTATTTAAAGTAACCCTTTCTCTCCTTAAACTCCTGAATTTTTACCCCTTTGCTTCTCTTCAATCTTTGCTACATTCCTTTCTCCTAAAATTAAAAAAAGGTTTTTTTTACATTTTCATTAAAGTGTTGACTTGAATAATCACAATGCATTTAAAAAAGTATTTAATATCATTAATGGCAAAGTGTATGATTCCTCAGCATATTCTCCAAGACAGTAGCCCATTATTTCCTGAATTTTTAATGAAAATGTTAGAAGTCATCCTATAGGCAAAGAACCTTATGACAAGGCAAATGAATCAATTCCAGAATGACAGAGAAGGATCAGTTGCTGCCAGAAATATAAGATTCTTTGAGCAATTACTGTCAGAGTTTCAATGATAAACACCTCTAGTTGCTTTCAGTCTTTGTGTAAACCAGAATTCTGATGTCTGGTATAATCAGAGAGGAATTGGATCCTTCAAACACTTATCTAAGTGTCCCTTGTACTTTTCTAAAAGCTCTACAAATTTCTAGAAATTTTTGCAGCACTGCTGAAATCCTCACAGTATTGCTGAAGTTATCACTAACATTTTTTTTGTGAGATTTACAAATTCTATGTTTTGTTCAAATTCGCAAATCAGTCAATGAAATTAGAATAAGTTGATTTGTTTTGAAAAATACTTTGACAAAAACCCTATTTTGCAGTTTTTACACACCCTAGTAAAACCAACTGAACCCCTAGCATTTTAGAGGGAAAGTATGAATTTGTAAACAGTGACTGCTACTGCTGATAATACAAAGCTCCTCTATGAATTGAGCACTCTGTGTCACTGGCGTGTTTATTCAAAATAAATATGTAAAAATTTACCTTCATCTCTCTGCCGAGAGCTGATAATCTAGGGAAAAAATTTTTGACTTGCCAAATTAGTCAGGTTTCAATCCTGGCTTATGGCAATTGGATGTCTAACCACACTGATGAGCTGTGATACAGTGAAACAGTCTGTCTATAGATGACACACATACTTTTTATATATAGATGACTAATATAAGGCAACTTATCATATTCTGCTTAATCTCATCCATCACAATTTTAGTTTGAGAAAAACCAGAAGGTACATAGCGTCAAATCAGGACTGCATGGTGACTAAAAGACCTGAGGGGGTTGAGGGTTATGCCAGAAAAATGTTTTTAAAAACTACATCAAGCTTTTTTGGTGACATCTAAATAACCACATGAGAAACTTGCTGTTCATGTATGTCCAGTTAGGTCACGGTTACCAAGTTATATCAAGGCCATACATTGTTCTATCTCCTTAATGGAAGATATTCTAAAAAAAATGGCAAGCTCATATGTCTCATTAAATGTTAAATTTTAAGAAACAGAAAAATAAATATAGGTTTTTTAATAATTTTAATTATTTTCCTTCCCAGCAAGGTCAAAAAGCCACTAAGACACAATGTTAGAGAATATAAGAAAAAATTCTATTAAAGAGAGGGAATAATAAAAGAAGAAGAATTAAGATAAAAGAAGATGATAATTGACATTGCATTTAAATTTTTGAAGATCAAAGTTAACTGGGAAGCAAGAAACTGGAATAGAATTGCACAAGTGAGAAGTGTGGGAAAGTGACTAAAGCCGAAATGCCATGTCAGGACCAATAACATTGCAGATTCTTCTTTGGATTTTATGTGACATCAATATTTAAAGCAAGGAAGAATGGTAAACTTATAAATATGTAAGATAGATTCTGGAGTGAAACATTGCCTAGCATATCACAGTGAAGCAACCTTCCTAACATCAAATCTAGCAATTGATTCAATATAATCTTTCCACTTCATGTGAATGGAAAATGATAGCCCAAGAAGGTTAGCATCAGCCATACTGATGAAAGATAGAAAGAGGTTTCTCACATGATTGATAGAGAGTAGTATTATTTTGGATGTGTTAAAATTAACAAGCCATTTTGTACCCCAGTTAACAGTAGATTGTAGGTCATTTTTTAGATCAGCTGCCAATTTGACCTTAGCAATTAATCTCTAACAAGGCATATACAGCATACATAAAAAAAAATCATGAAAAGGCAAGTAAAAATATTAAAATGAAAATATTAATCAAAATTATTAACTAGAAATACCTGTGAAAATTTTCATTTTCTGATGAAACATAATTCTTCAGTTAATGGATGAATAAGCCTATGGTGAGTTCTATGACAATAAAATATCTGTAGAAATTCCCCCATCACATTAAATATTTGAATTTAACAACTTTAATAAAATATTGGAATAACAATCATAAATATGAATGCTTGTTGTTATTTTAAGAAGTGGGTAGAAATGAAAACATTTGAAATTGACAACTTTTCCATTTGACTGAAACAGCCATTATCTTTCCTTCTTTATTTCTTTCTTTCATTCATTTTCCCACTGAAACTAACATTTTTTTTAATAATAATTTTGAAATAATACAGCAGTGATGTTATTTTATGGTAAGTGAATTTTTGTCAATTGTGTTTTCCATCATTCAAAATGGCACATTTATCACGTTTGCCATCACATCTCATCCTTTTGGCTGGGATACAAGTGTAGTACCTGCCCTCAGGCAGATAAACTACATTTTACTTCTCAATTGTGCAACTCAGTTTTGTCTCTGTCTGTGAACAGAGCACAACTTAAAATATTATTGAGAAGTGTCTGGTCTCAGGAAATAGTTGTCCATGGCAGTACCTCTCTCATTGCATTCAAGAGATGAGGATCAGTAGGAATACCAATATCATCTAAACTGATATCAGTGCAACCAATGGTTGCAGTGCTGGGCTGTTTGGGATTTGGCCATGTTTTGACTCCACTCGTTAAAATGTAGTATCTATTCTCATCAACTTCATCTGATTCTCTATCAACACTTCTGCCTTCCCTTATTTATTTCTTTCCTTTATTTTTTTCACTGAAACCAAGTAGTGTCTTTTCTCCTCTTTCCATGTGATCAAAATGGAACAGTCCATTATTTATGAGGTATTAATATTGCGTAATGGTCATTCGAACTGACAAAGGAAGGGACAATAACAATTATAACAGGATAATGGTTGATAATATTTCATCTAATAAAGAAAATTAAGATAAATTTTATTATTAATTATTTTTTACTATATTCCAAAACATAATTTCAAATTAATTAACCAAGAAATATTTAATAATGGTGAAATCAAGATAAGACTTTTTTTTTAAAAATTTAGTTTATAAAAGACAAGTGAAAAAACAAATAAAAAACAAAAACAGTGAAAATGAGTTGTCAACAACTTGGCAGTGCATGCCATCTAGAAACAGTCAGAAGCAAATTGTTTCATGACAAAACGACATTATCAAGATTTACCAAAATTTAAATCAAGTTTTATCGTAATTACAATAGTGAAATTTTTATTTTTTTCATTTCATTTCTGGATTCTTTAAATAATTTTTTTTCTGATTGATATGAAATAAAGACGTTGACTGCTCCCAAATTATTTGCCTCAGGTGTTTATTTTTAGTTTTTTTTTTTTTTTTTTCAGCTGGGAAATGTTGGCTGAGTTCTTCTGTGAAGCATCGTTTAAATGTCAAATTAATTAAAAAATCTCTGATTTCTTTTGGCTGTAATGAGAAAAGTAGTGATTTGATGGGGACAAGGAAGTCAGAATGAAGAGAAAAACAGGACACAAAGTGCAGATAATTTTTGTTAATCCCAAGATGATAATTTGTTGAACACTGCCTTAAAAAAATGAGAAATAAAAAAAAATAGGAAAAAGAATCTTCCAATACTATTAGGGCAAGAAGATCAGGGATTTTTTTTTTTTTTTTGCTTCTTACTTTTTTTATTCTTTTATTTATTTTTTTTACAGATACGTCTAAAACAGAATGTTTAATACAGACTATATTACATTTGTGGTGATGCACATCTTTTGCTCACGGGTAAAATTTGAAAAATGTATTGTTCTTTATTTTTAATTATTTATCCTGCCCTGTCATAACAGCTTTTATTGATTATTATATTTATTTTTGGTGAAGATTTGTAATAAAGAATCTGACTTTTGGCAAATAACCAAACTGGAATTTAATCTTTTAGTAGAAATATGACCTTTGTGTAGTTTGTGTCAAAAAATTACAATGGCTTCTTATATCTCATTTTGTCTTGAAGCAGCAACAATGTAATTTACTTTTTCTTGGGGTGAGTAAAGAGGGCGAGAAGGATGAGGAGAAATAATAATAATAATAATAATAATAATGAGAAAAAGAAGAAAAAGAAGAAGAAAAAAAAGAACTATTGATAGCATATGTGTGTGTGTGTGAGTGTAAAAAGGAAAGATGTAAAATGATGATTTGTTAATGTTGAGAGTTGTGTCACTTTTTGGTTGTCAAGCAAATTGAGAATGACACAATCCAGTTTGGTTATGAAAATGGGCAAAAGGACAAATGTGGAATCAGAAAATTTGGTTAAACACTGAATGAGGCAGCAAGAAAAATAGGGATAGGAGGAAACGAAAATGGGAAAGGATAGAACAAATCTGGAAAATTTTCAAACACAAATATTATATGCATGTCCAACTGTAAAAAGGATGTAAACATAATTGAAGCCCGTAATGTAAAAAAAACCTTTACAGCATCAACTACAAAGACAGCCATAATGAACTGCTCATATTCAGATATTAAAAATAAAATATATAATGAGAACGAGAGTAGTCATAGAATCTGAGCATCAGACATTCTATATAGAATATAAATATATTATATTTATATAATTTAACCCCATTTATAAATTCAAATTCCCCCCTTAGTGAACAAAAATATTAATAAATAAGATCCTTGTGTATTGCTTACTTAAAAATGGCTGATATCTCTCAGACTAGAACTATATATTTATATATATATATGTCCAACTGTAAAAAGGATGTAAACATAATTGATAATGTAAAAAAACCTTTATCAACTACAAAGATATATATATTAAAA